GCTGCCGTGTGTTGCAGGTACCTGGTGGACAGCCGCTGGTTCCGGCAGTGGAAGAAGTACGTGGGCTTCGACAGCTGGGACATGTTCGGCGAGGGAGATCCCGCCCTCTTCCCTGGGCCTGTCGACAACTCGGGTCTCTTCAGCGGTGAGTGCTGCCCGGGGGAGCGGGGCCCCGGGCGGCGGGGGCCGGTGCTCGGGTCGCGGTCCGGGCTCGGGTAAGTCACTCCCCCGGGCAGGCATCTCACCGCGCAGCTTTCGCTTTCGAGGCCGTGTGTTCTGAGAGGATCCAAGCGGTTTCTGCCCACCCGTGGCAGCGCTGGTGCTTCCTGGGGTCCCGGTGGTGTGTGCGAAGGTCTGGAGAAGAAAGGATTCTGTTTGATGCCGTGCTTACTTCTGTCTGTCTCTCTTTTAGATCCAGAAACTCAGACTTTAAAAGAACACCTCATTGATGAGCTAGATTACATCTTGGTTCCCACTGAAGCCTGGAACAGACTAGTGGCCTGGTATGGCTGCATAGATGGACAGCAGCCTATTATGAGGAAAGTAAGTATGGGTGAACCAAGTTCTCTTCTGCCTGGTTTCATTATCTGACCTCTGCTAAACTTAAATGATGTTTATTTAGCTAGATGTGAGTTAGGACAGGATGCTCAGCAGCTCTTTGGCTATAATATGAGAACTTTTTGCCTTGTTGGCTGAAAGAGTGACCTTCCAGTATTGCAGTTAAAATGCCTGATTCTTCAGTGATTCCCAGTTGATGGGAACCACGAACCTTGTTCTAGTGAACTTTTTACATTATGATTCTTTGGATCAGCACAGTGATTTTATTTTGCATGGAAGAGTTTGTGCTGTGTTGAAAAAATGCAGGTTGTTAGTCGAGGTTATTGATCTTGTGGGACAGAGTGAGGCATTGGGAGTAAATTGTGTTTGAGTTCAGATGGCTTAGGGGCTTCCTCTGGAGTTTAAGCTGGTTCTTGTTTTCTCTTCCAAAAGTCTGTGATTCTAAAATCATGAGAAGAGACATTTGTGGTTTTGTTCTGTAAGTCAGATTTGGGTGTTTTGGCAGATGCAGTTGTGAGTGCATTCTGGGTGTGTGACCTGTTCCAGAAGGTGAAGTTAGAAAGTTGATTTTTTTTTTTTTTTAAATCTATCAGGCACTTGTTTATAGTTAAAAGTTGTTTTGTTTTTATTTTAGTCTCAAATCTTTGCCCTGACTAAATTGAGCAGTGCCAGCCTGTGGGGTTCATCAAGACTAATCGCCACACCAAGTGAGGAGTGTTGATATAACGTACAGAATGATTATTGCTTGTGTTTAATTAACATAATGTTACAGTAAGAGTTGCTTCCAGTTGTGCAAGGCTCGGGCAAGTGTGGCACAGAGCAGAAAAGGAAGTAAGCTCCCTCTCTTGCAGAGCCACTGGTGCTGATCAGTGGTACTGGAATGTTGTCGATCAGCGTGGGCTGGAAATTGTTTGTAACGAGAAATCCTGACGTCTTCAGAAAGAGTAAATGATTGCAGGTGACCCCAGGTTCAGAACTCCTGTGTAAACCAGGAGTGGGGGAAGTGGAAAAGAACTATAGCATATAGAGGAGATGTGGGTTTAGTAGAAACAGATAAGTTATTGAGGAATAGAAAGTCTATACTGAGAAGAAAAACTAGAACTAGTACTGATCAGTGCCTGGGGAAGTGAGGAAGCTTTCTTTCATGAACTGACTCACTGCTTTCACAAAGCCTGGTTAGACACCCCCTCTTCTGAAAAATTCAGAGGTTAGACAAGAGGTTTGGAAGCTGTTGGAGAAATATTTGAGTGACAGACTTAACTGTATTAGCCTCCTTTTCTTGGGTTATCAGATGCCACTATTCAACACTAATTAGTGGAGGCTGTTTTACGGACATAAGCTGCCAAGTTATTGTGGTCCAGTTACGAGTACATTTATAAAGTTTGAAGTGCTGTGGTAATGTCAGTCTCTGCTGTTTGTTGCTAACCTGGTGACTGAAATAGATTTTTGTATTTAAAAAAAAAATGCTGAAATACAGTGAAATAGTATAAAAATATAAATGGAAGTGTCAGGGGGACACAGAGGCTGCAGCACTGCACCTGAGTAGAATGTAGTCAGTATCCCGTTGCAGTATTCTCCAGGTATCATTGCCAGTAAATATCCATAAAAGCAGGATTTGGAAAGTAATTTTCAGGCATCTCTGTAATTTTACAAGCTGGTATTTCTTCCATCTCTGTGTGCCTGATGATCAGAAACAAGCACAGGAAGATTAGATTAGATTTATTTGTGGTTCAGGTTTATCTTGATAATCTCAAACCATATTTTCAGGCAGTCTCCTGTAAATACCCACTGCAAAATGTTGTAATGTGCAAAATAGAGAAGAGTGTGCTTCCTGAGCAGCTGAACGTGTGTTGTGTTCAGATTGCTGCCCAATGGGGTGACCCATGTTTTACTTTGACAGGGAACAAGCTAGCTGATCAGATGTTGTTTAAAAGACACTCACAGGCAATTAGAGACTCTTCTTGCCATTCATCCGTCCTAACAAACTTAGTGATCTGATCAAAAACTTCTTGGAAAGAGTTCTTCCATTTCTGAATGCAGCTCTTATTTATCTAACTACAGAATACTGGAGAAGAGGAAGTCCCATTTGATGAAATTCCTTCTGAAAAAGAAATGTAGAACTTGTGAATTGGTTCCTTTGCATTCTTTAAAAAAAAAAATAGTCTAATTTGCTTGTCAAGAGACTGTTTAAAGAAGAAGTTTTACTTTCTCTTTCTGTTGTAACAGCAAAATACTGGAGATCTTTCCAAATGTATTTGTTAATTATTTGCCTTTAAATCACCTCACATATCTAATACAACCCTATAAAAGCTCAGAAGAGGGAAGCATAGTTTAGCCAAATTCTCACAATAAGTCTTAGTCTGAATTCTTAATTTCTTTCTAAAGCTGGGTAAAGTTTTTGTTCTGTAAATGGTACAGATGTAGATCATGGCAAGCCTGGTGTCACACCAATAGAGTAGAATATTTCAGTTGGAAGGGACCTGCAACAATCATCTAGTCCAGCTGCCTGACACTTCAGGGCTGACTGAAAATTAAAGCAAATTATTAAGGGCACTATCCAAATGCCTCTTAAACACTGTTGCTCTTAAAAAATTATACCTGCTGGTTCAATGAAATATGATCTCAATTTCATAGGCTTTATAGCTGCAGAGAGTTGAGGTGTGTTTTGGGTTTTTTGGTATTTGTGTGGTTTTATTTATTTATTTTTCCCCTCCAGTTACATCACAGTTGTCTCATAACTGGCCTCTGAAATGTGCTTTTCTTTCTGGCATAATGCATTTTATGATCTGTAGGTGAAGGGTGATGTCTAGTCTTAAAGAATACCTTTCTAAAAATGTGCTGAAAGCTTGTGGGATGGATAGATGCACCTGTTGGAGAATTCTCTCAAATGTGAAATTGATTTGAAAATGATTCTGAAATAAAGCAATGTCATCAAATTGAGGTCTGACATATTTGTCTGTCTTTGCAAGGAGAGAGTAATGAGGCAGATTCTCTATAGCATGCAGAAAAAGAATTAATGCTTTGTCTTACTCCCTTCTAATAGGAAGGATTTTGCTCCAGTGTTCCAGGCTTTTTTTTCCCTTTTTTTTTTTTAATGTAAACCTTAGCCAAAGACTAGAGGCAAAAGATAATAAAATGCTCTGTGTGATCAGAAATCTTTTCCTGGGTAATTAGCTGGCACTATCAGTTCAGCTGTGATGATGGACCTTTGGAACTTTGCACTGTGGAAGGGAAAGCACTGGGATTTCTCATGTTTTAAAAACAAAACCAACCCCAAAACAAGCTGACAGAGGCTGTGACTGGATCTGGAATTGAGAGCAGCTCAGTGTTCAGTTTATGGCTTGACTTGTAAGACTCATAAAGATTTAAAATGTTTAGACAAGTGTACCTTACAGAGGACTGCTCAGTACTTTTAACTTCGTGTTGTTTATTGCATCTGCCTTCTCTTTGCAGGTGGTGGAATATGGTCTGTTTGTGAAACACTATAAGGTTGAAGTTTATCTTGTTGAGCTGAAGCTGTGTGAGAGCAGCAATCCTGACAATGTAATTAGCTGCCACTTTAGCAAAGTAGATACTGTTGGTAAGTAGTTCTCTGATACATGAAGCTGTGCTCTCCTGCTACCTCAAGAGAGATTTTGTGCCCTCCAGAACAAGAACAGTGTTGATAAACTGGAACGAATCTAGTGGGTACCAACAGGACAGCTGGGGTTGGAGCACGTGGTGTGTGAGAAGAGGCTGAGGGAGCCACATTTAGCCTGGAGAAGAGAAGGCTTTGGGAGGACCTCATGGCACCTATGAGGAGGTTACTGAGAACATAGTCAGGCTGTTTACTGAGTCACAAAGCAAGAAAACAGCAGGCAATAGTCATAAATGGAAACAGGACAGATTCCAACTGAATATAATGAAAATGTTTTCCCTGGTAGGACATCTAGACTTTTAAACAGGGCCCAGAGGGGTAGAAGAATCTCCTGCCTTGCAAGTTGTGAACACCTGATTGGATAAACCATGAACAGCCTGGTCTGAATTCAGTGTTGACCTGCTTTGAGTGGTTGTAGTAGGAACCTCCTGAGTTTCTTCTAGCTGCAGTGATTCTGTGTGCAGCACAGGGAGTTGTGGTTAGGAGCTTTGAAGAGCACATTGCTGCTAACTCACATCCTTAAGAAACACCCACGTCACTCATGTAAAGCAGTTCTGTCTGTGGTTGTCCTACAATTCCTTCTTCTTAGTGTGTGAATACTTTAGACATCTTCTTAGTGGCTCTTCCTACACTTCTGTTCTTCCTGAAATTTGGCACATCTCTCTCTTTTTCTGTCATTGCTGTATTCCCATGTAAAAAAGCTGAATGTCAGCTGTCATTTATGTCCATAAAGATGCTTTTTTTCAGTGTGCAGATGTGTGCCTGACAATAGCAACTGAAAACACTTCCTCCTGTAACCTGTGTTTGCAAATGATGACTGTTCCACACAAGTTGGCCTTTGGGCAGAAACTTCTCAATGTGTTGTGAACATTATTGATTTGAGGGCTTGACAGGCAAATACATGATGGAAAACAGTTTTTGATTCTTTCAGACTAAGTAGTAGTCAAGATATATGAGCAATTATAACTTCCATGATACATTTTTCTACTCAAATAATCTTGAAGGATTTATACTTTATACAAGGATTTATACCTCCTTGCTGAATGTCTGGCTTGTCAGGTTTGGGTTTTTTATGTTTTTTTCAGAAGCACTCATGTTTTTACACACACAATTTTGGTGTTTTTTTTTTCCCTCCTGAACAGCCACCATTGAGAAAGAAATGAGAAAACTATTTAATATCCCAGCTGAGAAGGAAACCAGGCTATGGAACAAGTATATGAATAACACCTACGTGCAGCTCAGCAAGCTGGATAGCACACTGCAAGATGCAGGGCTCTATCACGGTCAGGTAAGGGGCATAACTTTTGTTTTTAGATTCTCATGTGCTGCTTTCTCTGACACGTAACTTTTTTCACTTGCTTTTATGCACTTTATGAGCAGACACTGAAAATGTGATTTGTTAATGAGTTTGCAAAATGTGTAGCAGACTTGCAGTTACCTTTATTTGTTACCTAACTCTTTCAGGTTGTTCTAATAGAAGTGGAAAATGAAGATGGCACGTGGCCTGGACAGCATTTCCTGGCAAAGTGAGCATGTTCTAAAAGTTTCTGTTATTTTGTCCAACTTGTTTGCTAGGCTTTCCTGACCACACATTCTCTGTTAAAGCCTAGTTATCACTGTCTATTCTGGATTTCTTTGGTTTGGGTATTTTGAAGAAGGAGAGAAAATCTTTAATATACTTCAGTGGTTCTGCTGCTGGTTTCTTATCTTAGCAACAGTCTTCTGTTTTAAAGCCCATTTCAAATAGGTTGTGTAAGGATTAAATAGCTTATGTTTCTATAGTGCTTAGCAGACAAGAGTGCTATTTACATTGAGCTAGTCTACTTAAAAAGCTGCCTCTGCACACACAGTGGGGAAAAAAAAAAGTCTTCTACCATTGTAGAGTAAAAAGGATCTTGGAGTATATTTCCAAAGCTGCCAGTAGTGAATGCTTAGAGTTCACAGAATCACAGAATGTTGGGGAT